AAATTGGATAAAATGCTGGCACAAGATATGGCCGATTAGCACATGTTTTAAACAATAGTGAAATGGTTGGCACTCAGATAGAGTGTAGTCAATGTTGCGACCGAACAGTGCGCTAAACAAAGAGAGAGAGAGAGAGAGAGAGAGTACTTATATAAGAGTAAACATAAATAACCTGAAAGTCTTTGTCATTTGGTTTCTATTTGACATTCAAACAAATCTTATGTTTTAAATCTTATTTCTATAGATATGATAGAAAATAGATTAAGAGACGAAATCCATTTGATTTTCAATTTTCAAAAAATACATTACATGTTTCTTTTGTTTTCCATACATATAGTGTAATCTTTATTTATGTGTAAATTTTAATGGTATATTTTCTCGAAAACTTACAACAAAATTGTAATTTTAAAAAGTAAGTTAAAATTTGTACAATTGTTGTCATCAATAGTATTGTGATTATAATAGAAATAGTTTTTATATCATAAGAATACATTATTTGAAATGCAGACATAAAGATGGGCTTCGATTTCACGCATGATATGATTGCAAGAAGAGGCACACATAGAGGCACACATGACGGTGATGGCACCGATAGGCACAAGCATTTATATAATACTAATGCGAGTCAAGAGATTGTGGAGAATAGCAGTGAAACACATGGAGGAGAAGGTCTGTCTGGAAAAATTGATAACTCTTTTGCAAAACAATTGAAGCGAACAAATAATATCACTGCCAAAGATTGGTCTGAATATTCCTCAGCGCCTGACACTTACTTTTCGCCAATTCGTCATCACTTTATTCTCAACAATCAAATTCAAAGCACTAATGAAACGAATTCTAATTATATGAACAAACAATTTCATCAAATCAATCAATTTGTATGTTATGAGGATCTCATTCTATTTGTTAAGTTTAATTCGCAAATTTCTTAATCATAAATTGTCATAGTAGTTTTAGTTATTAACTTGCTATATTTAATTTAAATAATTAAATTAATTATTATTATTGTTTTATTATGTAAAGTAACTTTATAAGTAACTAATAATTAGTTTATCTCGATTCTATCGCTACATATGATAAAAACATAAATTATATTAAATATTATTTTTTCTTTATATACATTAATTATAATTATAGTAATTATTGAAGTAAAAATTATAATTAAAATGTCACTTCAATATAAAGGTCCATATGATAGACATTGTAGAAGAGGACAGTGATATCCCAAAGTTATTAATCAAAGTGGGAAGCAATGAGAGCAATGCAAATGTAACATATTTTCTAAACACCACTTCTTACGATCACTTGGATTTGAATCGTAAATTTAAACTCAATGCAACTTCTGGTGAACTCTATTTAATGACACCACTTGATAGAGATGCTCCCTTCGGTAGATCCAAATGGCGCTTCTCTATTCTGGCCAAACACAGCCATTCAACCCAACCTTTCGGTTACGCCGATGTCGTCATCAATGTTCTCGACATCAATGATAACACGCCTTTCTTTCAACACAATCCATATCACGCATCCATTTATGAAAACTCTCCAAAAGGTATTCAACATTTTATCACATTTTATTATTTTATGCAAATAATAATCATAATTTTATATGCAAGTTAATTTGTATAATACTTTGATTATTAATAGTAAATTATAATTAATTTTTTAAATACATACAATAATAAAGATTAATTTGTTTAATTTTTTGATTTAAATAAAATTATAGATAAACAACTAAACTGTAACTATTAGTCTCATATTGCATAAAATATCTATTGTTTTCAATACATACTAATTAGTATTAGGAGAATTGGAAACCTATTAGACTACCTATTTTGTAGTGTAGCTAAAATTATGAAATTACTTTCATAATTTAAGTTTACATTCTTAGGCACAAGAATCTAAGTTTTATCAAGATCGGTCAAANATCTATTGTTTTCAATACATACTAATTAGTATTAGGAGAATTGGAAACCTATTAGACTACCTATTTTGTAGTGTAGCTAAAATTATGAAATTACTTTCATAATTTAAGTTTACATTCTTAGGCACAAGAATCTAAGTTTTATCAAGATCGGTCAAATACTTTTTATACACGAGATTTTTAAAATATATGAGTCGGAATTATTTTGAAAATTTTACAGTAAAATATTTTCCCAAAAATCATCTTATTTTTAAAATGAAAATATTTTTCCTAACACAATATTTTGAGTCATTAATTGATTATAAGAATCACTATAAATTATCCGGCAATAGTTTAGAGCAGTTATCATGACATTAGCTGCAGACAGAATCAAATGCAAACTCGCCGTCGATCGGGGCGACTACCGATAATGACGTGTCCATAGTTCGGGTGGCCGTCAATGCTGTCCATTGAATAGCATATCATTAGATTCATTGAATGTTAGAGATTTCAGAAGAGGAAGGGTTTTGTATAATCTCCATTAGTATTTGAGCATGATCAATTTTAGTCCAAATTCACTCGTCATCAAATGCCAAAAATGATACCCTCCCATAGGAATACATTAGTTTGAC